TAGGAGAGGAAAATATTAAAGTATTCAGTGAGAATCCACAAGGTCTTCTCTGAACACTATTTATTTTCTTCTTCGAGGATGTGGGTCCCTTTAATTAAACCAGTGGTGGTACCCCTATATATATATATATATATATATATATATATATATATATATATATATATATATATATATATATATATATATATATATATATATATATATATATATATATATATATATATATATATATATATATATATATATATATACACACACACGCATTGAGAAGCTGGATGAGTGTATGGGAATATAAGCCTTGAGCCGTGTTGTAATAATGGCGTGGTGTTAGGCTTAAGACCTGTCAACCTAGGCATGGTCAGTTACTGCTGACTGTCCCACAAATAACACCATGATTGCTAGTAAACTGGCATTAAGGGGTCATGGGCTTGATAAACTGATAATAATGAAAACTAGTTCGATTTGAATCAAACTTTTTGGACAAGTTGTATATGACAAAGGTTTCATCTGGTCCACGTCTCAGCTTCGTAGCATAAATTGGAAAGGGAGAAAAAAATACTGAATTATGTGTTATGTGTCAAAATTTTTCCAAAATTGTCAAAAATTAACATGAAACACAAGTGTCAACTGTCATCATGTCTATGTCTCTCAGCTATGACCATAACATATAATAAAAAATGTAATAATTAGTTTTATCCAAAAAAATTATGTTTTAAAGAAAATAGTTTTTCCTTTTTTTCTTTCTTTTTTCCTTATTTGTTTATCGGCCGATTTGCATGAAACTTATTCACGTGACTGCACGTGAGCCTATCTGCAAGGGTGCCAGTTTTGGAGGAAATTGGTTAATGTCAACCTCAGTCACAGATGGCAGCACCTTAGACTTTATTTTTTACTTATTTATTTTCAAGTAACATAAATGTTATTTCGACTCTTTCATATTTTATTCAATTTACATGAAACTTACACCTTATGTGTAGAGTTTGTCTCTAAAATTTGCTGTGGTACTGCTTTCCTAAGTCCATTTATTGATTTTATTAATATTTATCAACATCATTTTGTTGCATAATTTTTATGCAAATTTTGAAAACTTGTATTATTGCACTAAATACATTTCGGATAGAAAGATAACGGTAAAACCTTTATTATATGCTAATGTGACAGCTGAGGGTCACAGAAAGGATTTCAGTTGACACTTGTTCTGCCTCGTTGAAAAATCGTCTTAAATATGTATTTTTCTCTCCCTTTCTGTTAAGGCGGCGATGCTGAAACTTGGACCAGTGGCAACAACTTGTACATATAACACGTCAAAAAATATTGACTGTACTAGAACAACTTGTAATATTCAAACCCCGTGACCCTTATTGTTTGTGTCAAGTGATAAGTTATTATTGGACTCGCAACTTGCTTTTCCGGTAGCGTGTGGCACCCTGTAGATCCCTGTGACACCCTGTAGATCCCTGTGACACCTGGTGGCACTCGTGACTAAACGGGCTGAAACAGTTCTTATATAAAGGTTTACATAACCTGTGTCCGGTGGTAGAGGAGCCGTACAGTAGTTGTGTAACTCCTTGGCACCTATTTACTGTTTGGTGAACAGAAAAATCAGATGAAATGAAACCTGCCTAGGCCTCTCTGTCTCGGCCAGAGACGGAACCCGGGATCCCCGGTTGTGAGCCCAGTTACTGCACTACACTCGTCACCACACGCCCGTAGAGCCGCCCTCTAGGGTCATCAGCTCACGCCCGTAGAGCCGCCCTCTAGGCTCATCACCTTACGCCCGTAGAGCCGCCCTCTAAGCTCATCAGCTCACGCCTGTAGAGCCGCCCTCTAGGCTCATCACCTTACGCCCGTAGAGCCGCCCTCTAGGTTCATCACCTTACGCCCGTAGAGCCGCCCTCTAGGCTCATCACCTCACGCCCGTAGAACCGCCCTCTAAGCTCATCAGCTCACGCCTGTAGAGCCGCCCTCTAGGCTCATCACCTCACGCCCGTAGAGCCGCCCTCTAGGCTCATCACCTCACGCCCGTAGAGCCGCCCTCTAGGGTCATCACCTCACGCCCGTAGAGCCGCCCTCTAGGGTCACCAGCTCAGGTAACGTTAAGACACTGAGGGCGGGTCACCTCACGCCCGTAGAGCCGCCCTCTAGGGTCACCAGCTCAGGTAACGTTAAGACACTGAGGGCGGGTCACCTCACGCCCGTAGAGCCGCCCTCTAGGGTCACCAGCTCAGGTAACGTTAAGACACTGAGGGCGGGTCACCTCACGCCCGTAGAGCCGCCCTCTAGGGTCACCAGCTCAGGTAACGTTAAGACACTGAGGGCGGGTCACCTCACGCCCGTAGAGCCGCCCTCTAGGGTCACCAGCTCATGTAACGTTAAGACACTGAGGGCGGGTCACCTCACGCCGTAGAGCCGCCCTCTAGGGTCACCAGCTCAGGTAACGTTAAGACACTGAGGGCGGGTCACCTCACGCCCGTAGAGCCGCCCTCTAGGGTCACCAGCTCAGGTAACATTAAGACACTGAGGGCGGGTCACCTCACGCCCGTAGAGCCGCCCTCTAGGGTCACCAGCTCAGGTAACGTTAAGACACTGAGGGCGGGTCACCTCACGCCCGTAGAGCCGCCCTCTAGGGTCACCAGCTCAGGTAACGTTAAGACACTGAGGGCGGGTCACCTCACGCCCGTAGAGCCGCCCTCTAGGGTCACCAGCTCAGGTAACGTTAAGACACTGAGGGCGGGTCACCTCACGCCCGTAGAGCCGCCCTCTAGGGTCACCAGCTCAGGTAACATTAAGACACTGAGGGCGGGTCACCTCACGCCCGTAGAGCCGCCCTCTAGGGTCACCAGCTCAGGTAACGTTAAGACACTGAGGGCGGGTCACCTCACGCCCGTAGAGCCGCCCTCTAGGGTCACCAGCTCAGGTAACGTTAAGACACTGAGGGCGGGTCACCTCACGCCCGTAGAGCCGCCTCTAGGGTCACCAGCTCAGGTAACGTTAAGACACTGAGGGCGGGTCACCTCACACTGTACTGGGATAACATGGTAACGTTAAGACACTGAGGGCGGGTCACCTCACACTGTACTGGGATAACATGGTAACGTTAAGACAGTGAGGGCGGGTCACCTCACACTGTACTGGGATAACATGGTAACGTTAAGACACTGAGGGTGGGTCACCTCACACTGTACTGGGATAACATGGTAACGTTAAGACACTGAGGGCGGGTCACCTCACACTGTACTGGGATAACATGGTAACGTTAAGACACTGAGGGCGGGTCACCTCACACTGTACTGGGATAACATGGTAACGTTAAGACACTGAGGGTGGGTCACCTCACACTGTACTGGGATAACATGGTTCACGAGACAATACATAAAGTGCTTCATACTCAAAATCAAAATAGAAAAACTTTATTCATAAATGTTTGTATATTTATTAATGAGTTGTTGTATATAATTCACTGTGTCGGGGGACAGGAAGCCTGAGTGTATTTACACAAGTTAGGCCTATTTCCTGGTCCCACCCCCCCCCCCCCCGGTCGAATTAACTAACCCCGCCCAGCAGGCAACCCCACAACAAGGGGACTTGTTGTGGGGTTGCCTGAGTACCTACTTGCTGCACGGTGACAGTGGCATTAGGTGATAGGAAATGTGCCCAACCATTTCTGTTCCGCCCAGGATTCGAATCCAGAATTCTCGACATAAAACTGTAGTTTACCTTTACGATCGTTCACCAATTAGGGGTTGACACCTGTGGTCGTCCAGCAGCAGGAGGTTCAGCGACCTCTGAACACAGGCAAGGAACTTTATGAACATAAAAGGCTGCATAAACCCCAGCAACAATTATTGAAAAGTTTGTTTTGTTTCGGACAATAAACAAAATTAGTGACTTACACTTGGACTCGTGGTTCACCTTGACGACTAGCGGACGTCTGGACGCCTCCTCCGCCTGGGGGCCGCCTCCGCCTGGGGGCCGCCTCCGCCTGGGGGCCGCCTCCGCCTGGGGGCCGCCTCCGCCTGGGGGCCTCCTCCGCCTGGGGGCCTCCTCCGCCTGGGGGCCGCATCATCACCTCCTGTTTGCGCGTTTTGGCTTTGCTACTGCCGTTTGGCGTCGCCTATTTAACGGTGCGGTTGTACGACGCCTGGCGCACATATCGCCTCGGGTCACGGGATTGTTGATAGATTTTTTTTTTTACGTGTTCTGGCTGGTTCTCCCGGCGGGGTGACGGTGTTCAGGGGCCGGCTTGGCCGAGAGGTGCCGGGTCTTGGTGGGCTCCTGGTGTGCCCTCAGCCGTGGTGGGCGGCCGGCTTCTGCTCTGCCGGGGGACTCTGGATGACTTTTGCGTTTTAGTTGGGGGCCGAGTTTTGTTTTTGCTACCTGGTGTTCTGAGTGTGGGGCGGGGCCGGTGCTTGTCACCCTGAGGGACTCCTGGGGCGGGGCCGGTGCTTGTCACCCTGAGGGACTCCTGGGGCGGGGCCGGTGCTTGTCACCCTGAGGGACTCCTGGGGCTCCCCAATCATCCACCCGTTTGCATGTCTTTGGCGCGAGGCATATTAGTTTCAAGTGATTGGCGCCACTCGTTTCGCGATTAGGCTTGGCGTTTCACCTTTCCGGGCTTGGCGAACCCTTCACGGGTACGCCGGAGCCCATCCTATCCCACGATCGTCCTCGCCCCTAAATCCACAACAACAAAATTAGTTATGTTTAATTGTCCGTTAAATAAGCCATTATATATGTAATGCCGCCAGTGTCTCCATGACTCCCCCGCTTCACTAGGTGTACACAGGCAACATTTAGTGTTGCCTGTGGACTATAGAGACTGTGATGGTATGAATATTGAGCACCGTTCCCCTTCCTGGCGCCCCTGTCCACCCAGCAGCGATCAACACCATCTCTGTGAGGTGACTCATCACAGCTTCTAGCCTGTGAAAACCAAGAATATAAACTTCAGTTTTCTTTTTTCTTCTTTTTTTACCCTCATGGATTAATTAATTACAAAATATAACTATATTTACACAATTATAATTTACTGTCGGTATTTGACAAGTATACCGTAAAGTATAAACACTCTTAGTTTTCTTTATTAATGCTCACGAGAGAAAACGGAACATGCAACAGTAGTCGCCAGATTTATTGTTTTTGTGGTAAAATCAAACAAGTTTACCAATTAAATAATGGCATACCACACTGCAGAACGAAGATATTAGACGCACACAACCACTTCTTAGCCTAAAACTTTGTAAACACTTATAGAGAATAATGACAGCATATAGAATACTGCCTACCTAAGTTCATTACTAAATCTTTCCAAATTCCCTTCTAATAGAGGACCTGCTTCACATCTGTATACTTTACTGAACAAGTTCGAGAGAGAAAAACATTGAAATGATCGAAAGTTCAAGACATTATTTAACCTTTTAAGTTCTCTTAACCTCCTTTGACGGTACATGTTGTTGTGAGGGCGCAGGATGGAGCCCACCGCCGGCCTCAAAAGGCTCTAAACACAAGAATAGGGAAGTAAATAAGCATGAAGAAGAGGAACATGAGCGGGAAAACAACCCTCGAAGCCTTGTCGATTTCTTTCCACAGGATTTTCTTTTCTCCCGTCTGGGGGTCGAACCACTGGAGGCTGAGTCGGCCGGAGAGCGTCTCGTGGAAGCGCGGGAAGGGCGCCATCCCGGGCTGCTCGGGGGCCCAGGCCGGGACGGGCGGGCCCCCGGGCCCAATCACCCCCTTCGTCAGGTGGTCCCCGGCGCTCTGCGGACACCACAACATTACCCGCATCACTCAATGTGTTGACAGTGATAACTTTAGGTACCTGTTTATATATACAACTGGTGTCAGTTATGACACCAGTGTTGTCAGTTATGACACCAGTGTTGTCAGTTGTGACACCAGTGTTGTCAGTTATGACACCAGTGTTGTCAGTTATGACACCAGTGTTGTCAGTTATGACACCAGTGTTGTCAGTTATGACACCAGTGTTGTCAGTTGTGACACCAGTGTTGTCAGTTGTGACACCAGTGTTGTCAGTTGTGACACCAGTGTTGTCAGTTATGACACCAGTGTTGTCAGTTATGACACCAGTGTTGTCAGTTGTGACACCAGTGTTGTCAGTTGTGACACCAGTGTTGTCAGTTGTGACAACATTGTCAGTTATGACACCAGTGTTGTCAGTTGTGACACCAGTGTTGTCAGTTGTGACACCAGTGTTGTCAGTTGTGACACCAGTGTTGTCAGTTGTGACACCAGTGTTGTCAGTTGTGACACCAGTGTTGTCAGTTGTGACACCAGTGTTGTCAGTTGTGACACCAGTGTTGTCAGTTGTGACACCAGTGTTGTCAGTTGTGACACCAGTGTTGTCAGTTGTGACACCAGTGTTGTCAGTTGTGACACCAGTGTTGTCAGTTGTGACACCAGTGTTGTCAGTTGTGACACCAGTGTTGTCAGTTGTGACACCAGTGTTGTCAGTTGTGACACCAGTGTTGTCAGTTGTGACACCAGTGTTGTCAGTTGTGACACCAGTGTTGTCAGTTGTGACACCAGTGTTGTCAGTTGTGACACCAGTGTTGTCAGTTGTGACACCAGTGTTGTCAGTTGTGACACCAGTGTTGTCAGTTGTGACACCAGTGTTGTCAGTTGTGACACCAGTGTTGTCAGTTGTGACACCAGTGTTGTCAGTTGTGACACCAGTGTTGTCAGTTGTGACACCAGTGTTGTCAGTTGTGACACCAGTGTTGTCAGTTGTGACACCAGTGTTGTCAGTTGTGACACCAGTGTTGTCAGTTATGACACCAGTGTTGTCAGTTATGACACCAGTGTTGTCAGTTGTGACACCAGTGTTGTCAGTTATGACACCAGTGTTGTCAGTTGTGACACCAGTGTTGTCAGTTATGACACCAGTGTTGTCAGTTATGACACCAGTGTTGCCAGTTGTGACACCAGTGTTGTCAGTTATGACACCAGTGTTGTCAGTTGTGACACCAGTGTTGTCAGTTATGACACCAGTGTTGTCAGTTATGACACCAATGTTGTCAGTTGTGACACCAGTGTTGTCAGTTATGACACCAGTGTTGTCAGTTATGACACCAGTGTTGTCAGTTGTGACACCAGTGTTGTCAGTTATGACACCAGTGTTGTCAGTTGTGACACCAGTGTTGTCAGTTATGACACCAGTGTTGTCAGTTGTGACACCAGTGTTGTCAGTTGTGACACCAGTGTTGTCAGTTATGACACCAGTGTTGTCAGTTGTGACACCAGTGTTGTCAGTTATGACACCAGTGTTGTCAGTTGTGACACCAGTGTTGTCAGTTATGACACCAGTGTTGTCAGTTGTGACACCGAAACACAACCATATAAGGGCGAGTTGACTCATCCTCAGATCGTGAAATACAACTGTACACCTGTTCACTCCAGCCACACCTGTACACCTGTTCACTCCAGCCACACCTGTACACCTGTTCACTCCAGCCACACCTGTACACCTGTTCACTCCAGCCACACCTGTACACTCAAGCCACACCTGTACACCTGTTCACTCCAGCCACACCTGTACACTCTAGCCACACCTGTACACCTGTTCACTCAAGCCACACCTGTACACCTGTTCACTCCAGCCACACCTGTACACTCTAGCCACACCTGTACACCTGTTCACTCCAGCCACACCTGTACACTCTAGCCACACCTGTTTCCTTCAATTATGTCAAAAAAAGAGTACAAAATACCTTAGATTAACTCGTAGGTTACTCTTAGAAATACTCTTAGAATAACAAAACCAACAGAATACAATGCTCTTAGAGACGTACAATAACGAAGAGCGTTGCTTCAGGGGGACATCAGTATCAAATATGACAAAATATACAGTAGATGAAAACTAGTTCGATTTCAGTCAAACTTTTTTGACGAATTGTATATAAAAAGGGTTTCATCTGGTCCAAGTCTCAGCATCGTAGCATAAATAGAAAGGGAGACAAAAATATTGAATTAGGTGTCAAAATTAATCCAAAATGATGAAAAATTAACATCAAACACAAGTGTCAACTGTAATTATGTCTATGATTCTCAGCTATCACAATAGCATATAATAAAAATATTTAATAATTAGTTTTATCCTCGAAAAAATTGGTTAATTTTTTTTCTTATTTATTAAACGATTTGCATGAAACTTATACACGTGACTGCACGTAAGCCTATCTGTAAGGGTGGCAGTTTTGGAGGAAATTGGTTGATGTCAACCTCAGTCACAGATGGCAGCACCTTAGACTTTATTTTTTACTTATTTATTTTCATATAACATAAAAGTTTTTATAACTCTTTAATTTTTTATTCAATTTACATGAAACTTACACCTTATAAGGAGAGTTTATGTTTCTACAATCTGGTTTCGAGCTTTTTTCCTAAGTTCATTTATTGATTTTATAATAGTAATAAACATGATATATTTACAAAATTTTGGGACGGAACTTTGACTATTTGTATTAGTAAAACGAAACATATTTTGGAAAATCCGCTGAATCAAATCCTTTATTTATATGCTAATGTGATAGAAGAGTGTCATAGAAATGATTTCATTTGAAACTTGTGGTTGAAATTTTACATTGAAAATGTGTAAAATTCGTTGAAAAAATAAAAAAAAATTCTCCCATTCTATTTAGGCTGCAATACTAAAGCTTCGAACAATTGCAGCTCTTTTCATATACAACTAGTCAAAAAAGATTTGTTGACATTGAACAACGTTTAAAAAACTAACTGATGCCTCCTTAAGAAACTTATACATGATATAAATCATAGACTGAAGCACTTACATCTTTCTCAGTGAGCTTGACGGAGCGAGGCGAGCGCTGGAGGGTGTCCGGGTCGCCGCCGTGGCTGCTAGAGATGACGGTAAGTCGCTTGATGTGGTGGTCGACGCGGGGGGAGAAGTTCAGGTCGTCCGGAGGCCGCTTGATGTGGTGGTCGACGCGGGGGGAGAAGTTCAGGTCGTCCGGAGGCCGCTGCAACACCGACATCATGCAAGGTCACCAACATGCCAACATTGCTTGTTTGGGGAAAACCTCGACCTTACTCGTTCTAGGGGCACACACCAGTCTCGCGCATTTTCCAAAAAGGGAACTTTCACAAGTTTGGTTTATAAGGATATTAGAGATGTAATAAATAGTTGATTTGAAAGCAAAACAGCGGGGAGGGGGGCGGGTCTGTAGACCCGGTCTAAATTTACTTAGATTACTGGCAAGTCTTCTATGGTCATGTACATAGTAGCAGTAGTGATGACACATCAGCAGTAAATTTTGCTTTTCGAGTCCATTTACTGCTGATGCATCAGGGGTTCCAGGTAAACATTTGTCAGAGTTTTTATTCCTCACTGTTACACCTGTTAAGACCAATATATTTGCAGAGACCATTTTCGGAGAATATGTTCATAGAAGTTTGTTAAGGAAAATAGACATCTTAGCAGTAACTTTTAGTTTTATATCCATTTACTCCTGTCACACCCGTTTAAGACCAAAATTTGCCAGAGACCAGTTTAAGACCTAAATATTTTCAGAGACCAGTTTAAGACTGAAATATTTTCAAAGGCCAGTTTAAGACTGAAATTTGTCTGAAACCAATTTAACCCCTGGGCTGTTCTTGCAATTTTAGGCTGCAACACACCAGGTGCAAGAAATATTTTTTTCGTCTTATAAAAGTGTTCATTTGTGTTCCCTGATCACGGGGAAAAAAATCGTAGGTTATATATTTTGGCCCCAATAGGGCGAGGAAGTTTGGCAAAAGTGAGGGGATGACAGAGTAATTGTCGGAGGCGGTCAGCTCCGCTCGAGTTGTCAGGTGGGAGTTGCATCAAAGATGTTATTACCTAATTATTTCAATGTCTGACTGATTATTTTCTCAGTTTTTTTAGTAATATTTTTCAATAGTGTATAGTGTGATATATTTATGTAATAAAATATATATTATATTAAATATGAATGAAAAAGTAGGATTAATAATTCTAACACGAATTTTCTCAATATTTCTTATGTTTCTTTTCACTGTCGATGGTAACTGAAAAATCAATTCTCCAAAATTCATTTTAATTTCTAGTCTGACGCGACACTTGAACGCGTTTCGTAATAACTTATTACATTTTCAAAGACTTCAGTTTTCACACACAACTATAACCTGTCAACACTAAACAAAGTTCTATGCTATCATTTACACAGCTTTCATCTTATATACCCGCATTTGGGTGAGGTGATATGTTACAACAGTTTTGGAAGAGGTGAACAAAACTTTCAACACAAGATAGAACATGAAACAATGGGTATAAATTGGATAAATTAAAGGTAAGAATGGAAGTAACTGCAAAGGGCCTATTGGCCCATATTTCTTCATGCTTCTATATTGGAGCGGAGTCTTGAAGTGGGTAGAATATAGTTGTGCATTAATTGGCTGTTGATTGCTGGTGTTGAATTCTTGATGAGTAGTGCCTCGCAGATGTCAAGCCGCCTGCTATTGCTGTATCTATCAATGATTTCTGTGTTGTTTGCTAAGATTTCTCTGGTGATGGTCTGGTTGTGGGAAGAGATTATATGTTCCTTAATGGAGCCCTGTTGCTTATGCATCGTTAATCGCCTGGAAAGAGATGTTGTTGTCTTGCCTATATACTGAGTTCTTTGAACCTTACAGTCCCCAAGTGGGCATTTGAAGGCATAGACGACGTTGGTCTCTTTTAAAGCGTTCTGCTTTGTGTCTGGAGAGTTTCTCATGAGTAGGCTGGCCGTATTTTTGGTTTTATAGTAAATCGTCAATTGTGTCTTCTGGTTTTTGTCTGTAGGGATAACGTTTCTATTAACAATATCTTTCAGGACCCTTTCCTCCGTTTTATGAGCTGTGGAAAAGTAGTTCCTGTAAAATAGTCTAATAGGGGGTAAAGTTGTTGTGTTAGTTGTCTCTTCAGAGGTTGCATGGCGTTTCACCTTCCTTCTTATGATGTCTTCAACGAAACCATTGGAGAAGCCGTTGTTGACTAGGACCTGCCTTACTCTACAGAGTTCTTCATCGACTTGTTTCCATCCTGAGCTGTGGCTGAGAGCACGGTCGACATAAGCGTTATGCTATCACTTATCATCGCCACTTATGCTATCAACTTCACTGCGTGGGTGAAATCTTGCAATACAATGAGGCACTATCAACCGTAGAACGTATATAAATATACACAAGGAAATCCAGCCTACGGTTGTAACACTATAAACATAATATAAATGTTCCTTGATACAAAAAATGGTCAGTCACCCACCTTCCACTGCGTCTTGCACGCCAATGACACTCAAACACTCTATCAACTTTCCATAAGTAATCACTAAGAACCTCTTCTCTACCCTCAGAGGCTCTTCCCCGTGAACACCTTCAGGTCCTCTTAGAATTGTATACCAGGATCCTCCACAGCTCTTCCAGCTGCTACACCATGAAGTCTTCCTAAACAGCAATGATGCTTCACCACTGATATCACAGAAGCACGTGAATCTTCACTTCACTGCTCCTCTTCCCACAGTTTGAGATCCACCTCCTCACTATGGGGCTCTGCTCTTCTGTGGGAAATTTTTACCCACTATATCTATATTATTATCTAAGAAATGTATAATTTCTAAATCATATCAAAATCAATATCAAAATCATATCAGAATCACTACAGATTCATTGTACATCTGGATCCTACATGACAATACCTATGATCACGTACGACCGTAAGGCCCTTGGTTGCCTACGTGACTTTGTGCATGATTTCTCAAGGATCCAGAAGCTTCTAGAAGGATTTCCTAATTAAAAAACTATTGGAACAATTCAGTCGATTTTCGGTAGGGATTAAATCAAGTCCTTAATAAGAATCAGTAGTGCTAGCAAGTACTACTTATAATATTTAAATCCTATATCTATTGTAATCACATCTTATCTCAATCCTATGTCTAGACAGTAAAAATAATCAATCAATATTCATTGAAGCCATTCACCAAAATGGCTTCTCCCAACTTAATATTTTGCTGTTATTACACTAATATACACGTTATATATAAGTATCTACATTTGTGCTCACCATAGAGAACCACTGAGCTGTTATGGTGAGTGCAGACAGTAACAGGTGACCACACAGAGTAAGCAGATGACGCTATCTTTCTCCCTCCCTCAGCAATACTCCTCCCACCATACAGCACAGTGCTAATTATCACAACAATCCTGCTATTATCAGAATCCTGGTCATTTTTATCACAGTCAGGGGTCTTCTGTAATACTATCATCACTAAATAATACCAGTTACGTATATATATTTTACATTTTTTTAGGCGATGCTGTGGTCACAAGCTGAACAGCAGTGCTGTTAGCTCATGCTGTGTGCGCCAGCCTTGATGGCTCACTCAGTACTGAGGCTCTCACACCCCAGGAATGTTGCCTACGATTAAAAAAAAAAAATGGTGTCGTCTGTATACAAGAGCTCTGAGGAAGCTGATGTGAACCCTGTGCCTCAGGACTTTTAAATCTTGCATGGCACTCACACAAATCAATAGATGTGGTGCGCAATTCCGCGGCACTTACTCACCACATCACTTTATGTGTTGCGCATTTTAAGAGTTAAGACCGAAATATTTTCAGAGACCTATTTAAGACTGAAATATTTTCAGAGACCAGTTTAAGACCGAAATTTGTCAGAGACCAATTTAAGACCGAAGTTTTTCAGAGTTTTAATCCTCACTGCATTCTTAAAGAGTTCTTACAGAAGAAATTCAAATATTGTCAGTGTCCATTTTAAGACCAAAATTTATCAGAGACCAGTTTTAGACCTAATTTTTTCTTCAGTTTTAATCCTCGCTGTGGTCTTAAAAGAGTTCTTATTGATATAAATAAACTCTATGGATTTGAGTAGATGTTTTTGAAAATTTCATCAGAAGTTAGTTCCTGGACCCGACTCTATACATTTATAAGTGTAATTTCACTATTAACCGATCAAATTCCCTGAAATTTAAAACCGTTGTATTTCAGATATAGTAAAATAGACCAAAGCAATTACAGAGCTCCAGCTCCTGTCCCCCACCTTAGTTCCTTCTCACAACTCTACTATTATCTGATCAATTTCCAAGAAATTTAAACCCACTGCATTTCAGATGAAGTAAATCAGTTCGAATCAGTAACGAAGTTCTAGCTCTTGTCCCCACATTAGTATCTCGTATCTTCATTAGTAACTATCCCAATTCCCTAAAATTTAAACCCACTTTATTTCGGACATGGTAAATAAGATCAAACAGATACCTAGTTTCAAATCGTGTCCTTCACCTTAGTTCATTCGTACATCTCTGTTAGTATCTATCCAAATCCTCTAAAATTTAAACCCACTGTATTTCAGACCCTTTAAAATAAAGTAAAATACCGACTTTCAGCTCATAGCGGTTAATAGCGAAATTACACTTATAAATGTATAGAGTGGGGCTCAAGAACTAATTTCTGATGAACTTTTTAAAAATATCCACTCAAGTTTATGGAGTTTATTTATATCAATAAGAACTCTTTTTAAGACTGCAGCGAGGATTACAACTCTGAAGAAAAAAAATTGGTCTTAAACTGGTCTTTGACAAATTTTAGTCGTAAAATGGACACTGCCAATATTTGAACTTCTTCTATAAGAACTCTTTAAGAATGAAGCGAGGATGAAAACTCTGAAAAAATTCGGTCTTAAACAGGACTCTGACAAATTTTGGTTTTAAATGGTTGTGACAACAGTAAATAGATATAAAACTAATAGTTACTGCTAAGAAATGTATATTTTTCTTAAACTTTTATGAACATATTCTCCAAAAATGATATCTGAAAAATTTCGGTCTTAAACTATACTCTGAAAATATTTCGGTCTTAAACAGGTGTGACAGTGAGGAATAAAAACTCTGACGCATGTTTACCTGGAACCCCTGACGCATCAGCAGTAAATGGACTCGAAAACCTAAATTTACTGCTGATGCATCATCCCAAC